TAAATTTTTTGAGGCACTTTGGTCAGTTTTCTTCTGTTATAAGGCGCTATACCAATAAAGTTGGCTTGGCTAGAGTAAAACTAGCCAAGCTGATTGACTGGATCAGCTCAGGTGTCCCTATCTTATGCCGTCATTGACACAACTATTATTTGTTCAGATTTTTTTTTTCAGATAATTTCCTCAAACACATTTTTTACAATATCTAAGTTTCTGTAATGGACAGACTAACGAGGCTTGTGAATTTAATTCCAGCCTAAAAGGTTTACTAGGGTCTGCCCATCTATAGTAGTGTGAATCAATCTAGCCTCTTTTCCTCGTCTGATTAACCGTGGGGCTTTGTAGTTTCAAAAATGGCCTAAAGCTAGAGACCACATATGCACAGGGGTAGAACCTGTAGCAAATGTGTTCTTTCAAAAACTACAACCCTACAAGTCTCCTCTTGCTCTTTAAAAGCCCATTGCACCATGAATCAACTCTTGTCAGTCCTTATGTCAAATTTTACAATTATAAACACTCTTGCTGTGCAGGTTTAAAGTGTGAACCTGAACTTCACGATAAATGTACAGCATGTGGCTTTTAAGTACAAAAAGTATTGACAACAGAGCTTGAAGTGATCGGGCCAATACCAGCAGCTCATCATATTCTCAGTGTGATTGTTACATCACTATGAATCTGTTCATTTATCATCTTCCATCTCCCTATAGCGCAATCACCTTTTCACCTTGTCTACAGTCGATTCGTCAGAGTATCGCGTCGGTCCCACATGAGGCTGCTTTGTTTCGGAAGGATCAGACCAGTCAGACAGCCAACGCAGCACTTTAAAGATGCTGTGACATTGCAATACTCCTCCTCACTCCGCATTCCACATTCCCTTTTCTCCTCCGCTCACCCTTAGCCTCCCACACACCCCCATCCATCTACTCACTACTCAGTTCTCCTTATCAACTCCACTCACTGTACCCCCATTCTGCTCCCTCGCTCCCCTCCACATTCCCCGCTCTTTGATCAGCGGCGGTTGTCAGTTAGTCTTGCATGTCTCAGCCAATACGGCCGTCCTGACGCGAGAAGGGAGGAGGACCGAGCATAACAATGGAGGAGGAGGAAGAGGAGGAGGCAGCGAGGTAGACACAAGTTTGACAGAGTCACCTTGGCTCGCATGACAAACTTTATTTTGTGAATCATAATGATGAGAAAGCCTGGAGCTGAAGCAGCAGCGTAAGTGTCAACAAGGAGGAGAATGGTGGGATAGGAGAGCAATGTTCGGGTCATATTAATATTCTAATGTTTTTGGTAGGCAGGCTCCTTCATTCGCTGCTTTTGAGTCTCCTTTTGAATCTTAGTTAAACATTTTTACATTTACAAAGTTTTTATTTTTACTTTTACTTGTTCTTATTATCATTGGCATGTGCATCCTTTTGGTCAGCCTATGCTTTTAAACAAGACTTTAGAAATAAATTGGAATAGAATGGAATATTCTGATCTCAAAGTGTCCAAACAACTAAGTTCACATTTTAGTCTAATAGAATTATGTTTACTGGTAATAGCAACCCCTCTTTTGGCACATTTTTCAAACAGGAAATGTGGGTGAAGTAAGACTCTTGTAGGGGGGTGGCTTACTCTTTAAGTTAAGTTCAATGCATGTTTCAAGGAAAAGTAAGCAAAATACGTGTTCTACCAATTAGTTGGCTGCCAATCAAAAGTATCTCTACACACATAAAGACACTGGCTTTAATGTGTTTATTTCCTGAGCTCAAGAGCCTCAGCAGTCACACTTATTTTATTGTTGTGAAGTTTTCTTTAGATGCAGTTTTACCTGGATTTTGAATGGCCTGTCATCCAAGTGACTGAGTCATCCTTAAGTCATGTCTGCTGCACTGAGTGGAGGCAAATTATGATATCACAAATCAAATTTCCAAGATTAGTCACCAACAATTTTTTGATTAAGGATGGTTCATTTGTAAGCAATCACAGACGGATGATTCATGTGGATAAGAATGAGGAGGTGGTGACGTTTGTTGAATAACACTTGAGAGAACAGAGGATGGATGGAGACGGAAGAAGAGCAGACGTAGAAATGGAGAGGCAAGTACCCTCAAACATGCATTTATTCATAAACAGCACAAAAAGAAAGGATAACAAAACTTTGCACATCTTTGGGGCTGATAAACACCATCTTCCTGTTCCACTCCTAAACTCACCTACACGTGTGTTTGTATGATTCAGTAGTGGCCAGTGACCTGCCACCTCACAAACGACATCACGTCATGCTCTGCTGTTCACAGCCTCTTTTATTTATATTCTCTCCACCTCACAAACCACTCTCTTAGTTGGCTAATTTAAAAAATTGGTTTCCAGCCTAGTGGGACGCGATGCTCAAATAACAGGAGATGTACACAAAAAGCGTAGGAAGGAATGAAAAAAAGAGCAATAACCTAATAAAAACAGAGTGTTTGTTTTTATAACAACACGTCTCTGCTCATATTCATGCATCTGAGATAAATCTGTTTGTTCCTTCCTTCCTGCTTGGAAATTGAATTATCTCAGTAGAAATGCTGTTAATGCTTCCAGAGTTAGAACTCCGTCGGTGCTATACAGAAGCAGGCATTTTCCCCAAAGAGCTGCTCTCTTAACCGATTTTTATACGCTGAGTAAGTAGAAAACGTAATTACAAATTCCCTATTATATTGAAATTCTATAAAGTGATGATATATTCTACTAAAAATAGCTAATTTAGTGGAAAAAAACCAAATGCCTTCTGCCAATTTGCCTTTAACCTATCCTCCACTCACACATCTGCACACAGAGTTCAACCCATTGGTGCAATTAGTCAATTGGTTATCATTTCATGAGTTAATCTTAACTTGCCTGCTTATTTTCTGTGTGTAATTTGGCCAGCGAATTACATTCTCAAGTCCTTATTGTTTATTATTTAGCTACTTTGGTTTGAGATGTAGCCCTCCGTAAATGTTGTTCCCGGGCTGAAACACTCAGGTTGTTTGCGTTGGAAGGCAGGATCTACATGAAAGGGTTTGAAAGGCTGCAGTTTAAAAAGAAAAGAAATCCTGACAATTTTTAAAACACGGAGAGAAGAATTTCACAGATTGCTGTCAGTCTTGAGAGCAGAAGAAAATAGTCGGTTTTGCTACGAAGGATTATTAAAACTGTCTGTCCGGAAGAGATAAGGTTGCATAGTCTCAATCATAAACAGAACGCCATGCCTGTCATATATGTGACCTCATCCAGTCTCTATATGTTTCTTATTTTTTACATTTATTAACTTGTGTGTTTTGGGGGGGATGAGGGTCCTGTTTACACCTGATTCACCCGCTGAATCCAGCCAACCAGAAAGCTGGATGTCTCGTTCTAACCCCAAATGAAAACGTCTGTGTTACTAAAATGCTTCTGAGCATGTCAGGTTGCCTTCAGACCCACTGCCATTCTGAGATTAATCCTGCCTTTAGATGGGCATTCACTTCTAAATGACTAGCATTCATCAGGGCTGTAATTATTCTCATTTTGCTGAGGCTCTGGAGTGAAATGAAAAGAACAAGGGAACATCTCATCCGTTGTCTTTCTTCTGCTTTAATTCCCCCTGCTCATTTCAGAGTCATAAAAAAGTGAGGAAAATGTAACAAGGGCCTGAAATAAAAGGTTGTGTGAAGAAAAAAGGGGGATTTGCATCTTTTTGTCTGTTGCCCTGGAAATGTACATTTCTGGGTTGCAGAGAAAAAAAAACGTGTTCCATTTTTCTTTATTTTTTCCCTTTTATGTATTTATTGCTAAACACATTGTGTTAGCATGCCTGAAATGTGATGAAAACTCGTGTTTGAGCTAAACTGGAAGGCTGGAAAAGGCCTCTAAATCTCTCAGATAATGAAACATGACAAGTACCTCATTTATCTTTGGCTACACTTAGTGTAGTTTTTCCATATTTGAAGAGGGGTTTGGTTTCATTGTTTGCTAATTATTGACTTGGTTCCTCACTATTTTATTGGTGCATTACTGGGTTAATTCTTCACACTAGTACTAGTGACCATGTGTTATCACTTCAGTGGGCTTTGAGTCTTGATTTGCATCCAGAACCTGAAGCCTTTTTAGGGAAAAAAAATAAAATAAAACTTTCAGAGAGAACTGAAGCACAAAACATAAACCACAAAAGATTTTTATTTTATTTTCTGATGCAGTCCAAATAAATGTATTGTCTTTTTTTGTCTTGTGTGAATTAGTTTGGTAAAGGACCCCAGGAAGTGTAGTTGCCACACACAGCTTCTCCACAGTTGAGAACTTCTTGTTTTCACTTCTAATCACAAAAGATGAAAAATGATTCATACATTTTGAATCACAAACCACAAGTCCAAGTCAAGTCCACCGACATACATGAACAGTTCCAAGAAGTTTGCAAAGAGATTGATTGATGACTAAACACTGAAATGTTCTACTTTCTATTGCAGCAACAAGTGCCCTCTTTAGGCAGAGTGAGTGAAATGTTAAAGGTTTATTATTGACATGGCTTGAGTTAGAATTTTAGCCCAATGTCCTAATCTCTGTCTCTGTTTGCATTGTTCAAAACTGAAGGCAAAGTCTCGTTTGGCATGATGTTGTAATTCTGTATCACTCCGGATGTGGGACTGAAACTCTTCGGCATGCAGTCATGGTGTTTTTAAATATCAAATGCAAGATTAAAACTAAAGGTATAAGCGTTAGAAAGGGGGCTCGCTTGATGGACGTGTGTGCGTGCGTGCGTGCGTGCGTGCGTGCGTGTGTGTGTGTGTGTATTGTGTCTGTAGTTCAGTTTTTTACATGGATGGAGCTGGATGCAAAATGTATCCTGCAGCTAGCCACTAGGGGGTGCTCGTTCAACCTTTGTTTTACATCCCTGTGTCTGTTTCTGATATGATCCGTCAAGACAAAGAAATCTGTTATGTCATGAAATAACATTTTCTTACGAGAGCGGAATTTGTAAGACATTTGTGATAAGTTAAACTTTTCTCTCTCATTAGGCTGAACCCGAAGGCTTTTCCCATTTCCACCTCTATGTCTGTGCTGCCTTCTTGGTGAAGTGGAGGAAAGAGATTCTAGAGGAGCGGGATTTTCAGGTAAGTTTTCTCACGCAACATTTGCAGCTTGTTGGTGGATTTGAAAAACAATAGTGAATATATGTAGTTTAAGTAGATTAGCCAGGTGTAAAATGGATACAGTGATGTAAAATACCATCACGGCAGACTGTAGATGTTGATGAACCAGCATCCCGCTCTAGCAGCTCCCTGGTCATTAGCTGTGTAGTCCAGGAGCATTAGCAGATGACAGTAGACAGCTGCCAGAAGGTGACTTTGGTTGCCGGTTCGCTAAAGGGAACCTGTCTTCTTAACTGTAGCAACATAATCTAATATTAACAAAACCAATATTATCCCCCCTGTTCTCTTTCCCTTCTTAAACTTTAATTCTTCACTGTTCATTTCTTATTTTAGTGTTCCACTCTGCTTCCTGTTTAGGTCCACATTTTTATTTCTTACCTTCCTGTTTTGTGTTGAGTGCTCTTGCAAATGACAGAAGTAATACAAAACAAAAAGAAAAATACAAGAAAAGGGCGCTCGCCCTGCTTCAATAACCAAAACAATGCAGACAGGTAGGAAGTTTATGCAGAAATGAAATTTCAGTAGTTCCATTCTCTTACTGAAGCATAAATGCTGTTTTCCCTCCAACAAAAATGCTCCTTTGAGGTTCCTCAGACACTGTTCACTCCGCGATTGCCCCTTGTTTTCCCTCCACTTTGCCTCTCCATGCCTCTCTCTCTCTGTGTCGGTATGTATTTATTCTTTGATTTCTCGTATTTACGGTACCTACCGGGTCTTTATCAACTTCACTGCTTTACAAGCACACAAATACCCACGCAGAAACAAATTTAGGATTACTTTTTCTCTCTGCTCCCTATAGTTCTGCTTATTGGCTGGTTTGCCTTACAGAATACCAAGTGGTGTGCCAGGGGCAAACAATCCATCCTCATAAAAATGAGACGGAAAAGATGAGGCGTGCAGGAAGGAGAGGATCAGGTTGGCAATGAAAGTGAGAGCAGATTAAACTTCACAGCAGTGGAATGAAAAAGAAGTAGTTCATTTATGTGTGCTGCGCATCGGTGTATTGGCAACATGCTATTTTAGCATTTGCCGATGCCATTATTCTAAAGACACAATTACATCCAGAATCATGCTTCAGACGACTAATTGAAGCCAACTGCAGTTTTCACACTCTCGGGTTTGAAGGCAATAAACACCTTTCAGAACGGACACAACTAACAGCACGGAGCTGCCTCCATGATGTAATAGTTTTTTTTTTTCTTTCTATAAAAATCTTCAGAGACCGTGTGTTAGAAGTATGTCCTCATATAGGTGTGCTCCATTTATTTGCTTTGATTAAAAGCTGGTTTAAGTCACGTAAATGATTTAATGGATAAATTACTGTCTACAGCTTTACTTCAAAGCTCTGTTTAGAACAAAAACGAGGAATTTGTTAAAACATGTCAAGAAGAATCTGAAAACAGTGGCTTTAAATAAATACTTTAGAAGGAAAAATGGATCACACTGTTTCCTGCTGGTTTTTATTTATTAAAGTCACAGCAGAAATCCTGTATTTCTTGCCTGATTAATAAATGACTTGCAGCTGAGGGCCAACAAATCTTGAGATTTACTGCACACTCCTTTCATTTAAGACAGGAGGGACACAAATACGATCCATCTAAGCGGGATAAAAATGGACTCCATGTTTTAGTTGATTAAACACAATTTGCCCACTGATTGAAACACTGGAGGCTACCTGAGTTTCAGATGTGACATTACTCTACTCAATTTTGTTTCCTCGCCTCTCCTTCTACCAAGTCCAAACTCAAAAGGCACTGACAAATATTTGGCAGAGTGAAAAATGTAATTTTGCCAATACACTCAGCCTACTCTTTATTTAAAATTTGACCAGTTTTTATGCAATTCACCTTTAGTTGTTGTTGAGATGACTGCATGGAGGAATTTTGACTTCTTCCTTCCAGCTGATCTAAAATCAGCATACATGAATGTAAGTGAGTCCTCGTACCCGTCACATAAGACATCTGCAGACCTAAACAAAAAGATGTTTTTCCATCTTAATTTGAATACTCTATTTGGCGCACACACACACACACACACACGCCCAGAAATAGACACAGCAAAATGTCATCCTGGCATTTTCCCTTGCCGAGTAAACAGCAAATGAGCTTTCATTGTCTGTTTGTTTCTGTCTTCATGGGAAGTCTGTTGACTGTACTTAATGGACCACACTTGTTCTATGTGTTTGTGTATGTGTGTGTTTTCTGGTTCTGTTCAAGTTCCAGGTTCATGTCTTTCTATTAGAATTGAAGGATTGGAGCTCAACTTAAACTCACCATGTGTAGTATTTCCTGTTAATCTCTGGAAATATCCATCAAAATGTTGTTGAAAATGAATTAAATGATGCCCAGTTGTTAAAAAACATTGTCGGCTTTGTAACATAAAACCATAAAAATTAGGAGTGGGTCTTTGCACGATGCCATATTAGATGCTATGATTCCTTTTACAGGAGCCTGTGAGGACAAAATGCATTTATCGATTTCTAACAAAGGTTAAAAAAACTTTTCCCATTCTCAAACGTTGTTGTTTTATACATTTACCCCTCCACTCATTGGCTGTGATGAAAGGGAGTCTGATATGTTTGTCATTTCTTCTACCGGCTCTTGTGGGCCATTCCCATCTGTACCGGGTCAGCCCGGGCCGGGTAGAGTCGGTTGTTTACATATCTGGGTGGCCTGGTATTTTTCTGGGCCAACCAAGTCTCTTTCTCAGTCCTCTTCTCGAGGGGGTCTGCTTCAGGCCGACCAGGGCCAACACACCCACTGCTGACAGCAAATTCACACCTTCCATTAGAGCAAGCCTCTGATTGGTGGGTAGAATCAGCCCACATGGGCTTAAGACAAGGATGTGTGGAATCAACCGGGCCAGGCTGGGGCCGACTGGGGCTACCCGGCCCGGGCCAACCCGGTACAGATGGGAATGGCCCATTGGAGAGTACAGACACTTTCTTCTCCTCTCCCTCCCCGCTCCTCCCAAGGCTCTCTGTCTGCCTGTGCACTGCACATCTCTGCATTTTTTCTGGAAACTGGAAATTATTCAACATGGATCTGGGCAGTCGGTCTCTCAACGCGAGTGACAAAATCTTTTCAACGATGAGAACGGGAGAAGGGGCTCCTGGATGTCCCTCTGGGACAGAGCCAGCATGGACTCCTGGAAACAGTGGAACTTGATCTGCCTGTCTCAAATGTCAGTAGAGGATTCTGAAGATGTTTGGATATTTTTTGTTTTGGTGTCGGGATTCCTGCTGTTTGGCCTGAGCGGTTACCTGGCATACCGGAAAATTAATGAGCTTCCGAGGAATATTGGCTTAATCCCGGAGCTCAGGGATGGAATGCATCATGCTGTAAACTCACAGACTTAGATAATTGTTGAGATGAGTCGTAAGCTTGGAACTTTGGCTGAGATTCGGGCTCTGGCACAGAAGGTTTATTTGATCAAGTAGAGAGTTCAATCAATCAATCAATCAATCAATCAATACTTTATTAATCCCAGAGGGAAATTAGAGTTTCAGTACACACAATTCAGAGATCAGACATACATGGGCAAGACACATGACAAGAATTGGTGACTGTGGTCATTTGCAACCCGAGTCGCGCTACCTTATTAGAGATAAGAGGGTTACATGAGGATTGGTTCAGGTGGAGGGAAAAAAAGGCACTTCAGAGTTACCCTCCACCGGGAGGGCAGCATTGCTCCGCAAAAAAACACCTCAAACAGATATGCAACAGACTTCAGACAACACAACATAACATGAGACTCCAATAGGAAGGCGGGGGGGGGGGGGGATCCTGTTTCCCCCAGCGAGAGCAGCCATCTGACGCTCTTCTACTGTACAGTCACAGGTGGGAGGGAGATCTTGGGAGCAGCAAAGAGTACATTGACTCCTACAGTTGATGACCTCGCCAGGCTGAAGTCCACCAATCCGAAGGTGTGTGTGTGTGTGTGGGGGGGGGGGTTAGGTTGGGTTTTCACAGCATCTGTCTGCATGCCTTCGTGGGGGTTTTAGTTGCTTGCAGCTCAAGGCTACCAGGGCGTCAGATTCAGATAACAAGAATTTGTTTGGGTCAGGCTGAGATAATTTTCCTCTCAGCCTTCAGTCTTTAAACTGATCATTTCCAGTCCTTCAGTGAAGCCAATTTTGGGGTTTTAAACCTGTCCATACCATCTGGTGACTCTCTTCGAGATGACATCCATTTTGCGCACTAATACCGGTATCACAGCTAGAACATTGTCCAGCTTACGATTCACCTCGAGTAATGTCCCACTCTGAGAAGTTTCCACATGGACGGTGCTTTCCGTGGGTGCGAGTCGCCCTCCAATCACTCCCGTCTTCCCAAATTTCCAGAAAACCAGATATCCTCCCACTCCAATCAGGAGAAATCCAGTGATCATCAGGCCGAATATCCGCACGTCTTCAATGTCCTCGCTGGCAGAGGTATATGATCTTCCACTCCTTCCAGGAATCCAACATATATCCCACTGGGTGTTGGAGCCCCCCTGCTCCATTCCCATTGTTGAAAAAAATCTTATTGATCGCATTGAATGACCAGTTTATCAAATCTGGGGCTGCACAATATATCGAAAAATTATCGTCATCGCGATAACAGGACGTGCACGCTCTGAAGTGAGGAGAGTCCCGACCCTACCTCCCCACCTAGTGGACACTTATGTTGTGTATCGTCTGAAGTCTGTGTGCATATCTGTCTGAGGTGTTTTTTGCATAGCAAAGCTACCCTTTCTATCAGGGGTAACTCTGAAGTGCCTTTTTTCCCCTCCCCCGACTATCCTTATATAAAACCTCTTGATCTATGACGGTAGCACGACTCGTGTTGCGAATGACCACAGTCACCAATTCTTGTCATGTGACTATGTATGTATGTATGTCTGATCTTGGAATTGTGTGTACTGAAACAATAGAATTTCCCTCTGGGATTAATAAAGTATTTTTGAATTGAATTGAATTT